GGTGTGTGCCAGAAAGCCCAGCCTCTCTGGGCGCCCCGAAGTGTGCCCCTGAGGCCGCCGACCCAGGGCACATCTTGTCTGGGGTCAGTTCCTGGCCTGCCCGAACAAAGCGTGAACAGGATCTGTCGGAGGTCCGCGCGGACTTCTTGGGGCGGCGCTGAACCCCCCCTCCCTTAGAGAAAAGAGAACTATGCACATACACCGATTCTGGCCAGGCCCACCATGAGCCCAGGATCGGTGCATACGCCATCCTGCCTTGGCCAGGAGGGCACATGCACCGATCCTGGGCCCAGGATGGGCCAGGCCAAGATCGGTGCATGTGCATAGTTCTCTTCGTCCGATCCCTGGCGCGCGGAGCGCGCTAGGGGCCAGGGAGCTCCAGCGCCGCCCCGAGAAAGCCACGCGGACTGCGAAAGTGGCAAGGCTCGGGGGCCGAGGCTTGTCGCGTCGGACGAAAGGGGGGGTAGCAAAAGGGGAGTGAACGAATCAGCTCACGTAGCCAATTTCCCCAGCGTCTCCCAGCGCCGGAAGCGCCCGTACATCAAGGAATGCGCCTGGCGGCGGGGCCGAAACCAGCGGCATGTACCAGATACTGCCGCACCCCATCTCAGCTGACCCGATGTAAGGCTTGGTGTAACGCGCACGGGCCGGCGACGAGAACGTGTGCTGCGGGCGGAGTCGGGAAGAGGCCTGGGATGAGGCTTGGAGCCGGGCTCGGGGTAAGGCATTGGGACGGGAGGAGGGCGGGTGCCAAGGACGCGTGGCCAGGACCCAAGGCTGCGCCGCAAGGGTTAGGTCGGGCATGTCCCCCTACAGGCGGACTCTACACAGAAAGTGAACAGTAGACGAACAAAAACTCGACAATAGCCAAACATTGTCTCTATTTTGTTCACTATTCGCAGATTCCTCCTGTAGAAGGACAGGCCCGACTTCACGCAACGGTTGTCGACACTGCTGCGCTGGGGGGCGGTAGCCCTCTGGTACTCGGGGTGCCTGTTGAAGCCAGCTGGGGCTCCCTCGGGGGGGCTATTTCGCAGCATCCCCTCAGGCCTTGCCGGGGACTCCCAGGGACGTTTGAGCGTCGTTTCGGGGGGCGTCAGCTATCCACCTCGCCGATCCTGGCCACTGAATCGGTGAGGGCGCCCTCATGGCTTGGCCTGGGAGGCACACGCACCGATCCCGGGCCCAGGCTCTGCCTGGCCAGGATGGGGGAGGTGCATCGCTGACGCCCCCCAAGTTTTGAAAGGTGTGGCGTTGGAGGGTCGAGGTTCTTGGACGCTTTCGACGTTTTCAACTGCCTCCTGGAAGCGCCGCCACCGTCGTCGCCGCCACCGTCGTCGCCATCGCCGTTTTCGCCGTCGTCGTCCTTCGTCGTCGCCCTTCGTCGTCGTCGTTCGACGTTCGTCGTTCGTGGTCGTCGTCGTCGACGTCGTCGTCGCCACCCGCCGCCGTCGTCGTCGTCGGCGTCGTCGTCGACGTCCGTCGTCGTCGTCCGTCGTCGTCGTCGACGTCGGCGTCATCGTCGGCGTCGTCGGCGTCGTCGTCGGCGTCGTCGTCGTCCGTCGTCGTCGTCGTCATCGTCGTCGTCCGTCGTCGTCGTCGGTCAAAGTCGTCGTCAACGTCGTCGTCAACGTCGTCGTCGTCGTTCGTCGTTCGTCGTTCGTCGTTCGTCATTCATCGTCGTCGTCGTCGCCGCCGCCGCCGTCGTCTTCGGCGTCGTCGTCGGTCGTCGTCGTCGGTCGTCGTCGTCCGTCGTCGTCGTCCGTCGTCGTCGTCGTCGACGTCGTCGGCGTCGTCGTCGTCGGCGTAGTCCGTCGTCGTCGGTCGTCGTCGTCGGTCGTCGTCATCGCCGTCGTCAACGTCGTTCGTCGTCAACGTCGTCGTCGCTCGTCGTCATCGTCGTTCGTCGTTGGTCGTCGTCGATCGTCGTTCGTCGTTCGTTGTTGTTCGTCCTTCGTCGTCGTTCGTCCTTCGTCGTCGTCGTCGTCCGTCGTCGTCGTCGGCGGCGGCGCCGCCGCCGTCATCGCTGGGCCACCGTCGTCGCCGTCGTCCCCTCAGATCCCAGCGCAACGAAAATATCGAAGCGGCTAGCGTTTCCGCAACGTTATCCTCCAGAGGCCCGTTCCGTCAGAAAAATATCCCGGGGTTAGAAACCAACCCCCGGGAGGGGGTCAACAGGTCGAGCGTCCCACGTCACGGAAAAAAACGACTTCGAATGTCGTCGCCATCGTCGTCGTCGTCGCCGTCGCTGTCGTCGCACTCCCGCGCGCGCGTCGAAGGGGGAGGAAACAGGAGTTATCTGCATAGCAGAAAGAGAAGGAAGAGGAGAAATAGGATGGACCTCTCCAAGGTGGCGCCGAGTCCCTCCTCCCTGCTCCTCTTCCTCCTTCCCCTCGTCCCCCTCGTCCTCATTCTCTCCCTGGGAGGAGGAGGGGGATCAGGAGGAGGAGGAGGAGGAGGAGGAGGAGGAGGAGGAGCGGCACGCGGCTGCAGGGGGGGCAAGAGAGGTCCCGCGGAGTCCTTGAACTACCTGATCAACTCCTTCAGCGCAGGCCTGTGCCTCATCTGCTGTCGGAGCCGGGCGGCGAAAGCATTCCCTGTGAACGTGGGGGGGCGATTCCCCCGAGTCCTGCTCAAATTGTAGGCATTGTGCATTAAATTGATGACCGGAGCGTGGAAGCAGCAGGAGGAAGCACCCGCCGAAACCCAAAGGCAGGGAAGAAAAGCAGCGAAGGGCAAGGGAAGAGGAGAGGGACCCCAACCCGAGGGGAGCGAGGGGAGAACAGACCAGAGACGGTCAGAGACATGGGGGCATCGGAAGTAGTGTTCTATACAATCTCTTCCCATGTTGCAGCATCCGAGGCGGCACACATGGGCGCAATCGCGGAAACGACGAGAGGTGGGCCAGGCATTAAAGAGGGCACAAATGACGGCACTAGTGATGCTGGGTGGGCACCCCTTGCCTATCATGTGAAGACGCATGAGCGTGAGGTCCACTTCGGGACCAGCGGCTCCTGGGAGCCAGTAATTCAGACGGGGCAGGATCAGATCACGGGCGTCAGGGGCGGGAGAAACTTTTTTTTTTTCAAAAACTGTACAATCCGAATATGCGAAAGCTTCGGCCTCACGGTTCGCGGGAACTCAGGGGACGGATGGTACTTACCGTGGACACGTTTCATACAGGCAATGATGGACTTGTCTCCAGGACATCGGGCAAGAGGGGCAACACAATGGTCGTCATATTCCTGTATTTCTGACAGACACTGGCACATGCGGTCGAATGCCTTAGAGCGAATGGCGGCTCTCAACATCGCCGCAGGCGCCATGATCTTCAAATCGTGTGCTTCGCACTCGAGGCCGAGCGTTTTGCGGTGGTGCAGGGAGACCGGCACAAAAGCGAGCCTCGGGGCGTTGGTGAGCCTCTGGAGCCCTTCATGTGCCTTATTTAGTATGAGAGGGCTGGGGGCGTAGCACTGGGCGACGTGGGACGTGACAGGGAGGGCGAAGGTATTGCAGGCGGAGAGGGAGAGGTTCAGCCCCAACTTCATGGCCTTGATACACGTGCATCTCTCAAACAACTTCGCCGCAGGTGCGTACCAACTTCTGTTATAACCGTCAGGACCGATGAGAATGCCGAGATAAAGGCCCGAGGAACCAAACGTGAATATCTTGATGTTAATTTTCTAGGGGGGCATTCTGGAAGAGGCGAATAGCAGAGTCTTTGTCGGGAACGTGTAACATCATAATATGGCATTTCTCGAGATTGAGGATGAGGCCAGTCCACTGGCTGGCGAACACAAGTTCTTTGACGAAGGAGGAGGAGGAGGAGGTCTGCAAGCAGGAGGAGGAGGCCTGGGTTGGGGGTGCACGGGGAGCAGGGGGAGGGAGAGAGGCAGAGATGGAGGACGCTCCTTCCTTCTTCCTCCTTCCCCTCCTCCTCACCCTCACTCCTCCGAGGTCTCCAGTAGGCCCTCGTGAGGTCCCTAGGGCTCTGCAGGAACCCCCCAAAGAGCCAGAAAGGACCAACAAACGCTACCTCCGATGCTCATCGATCACCGATCCTCTCCAGACATCCCGCGACATGTTTTTTTTTCAATCCGTGTGCCCCGAAAGTCCCGACCCTTTAACCCTGAGGTATTTCTTCGTCACAGTTCCTGTTGAGAGTCCTGCGATCGGGAAGTGACCACCGAGGAAAAAACACCAGGATCACGCCTGCTCCCTCCGCCTCCTCCCTCCTCCCTGGGGGCCCCGGCCATCCTTCAGCCTACGGAGGTGAGAGCGGGCCCAATCGCACCTCCACGCTCACTTCCCCTGTATACGCCAGCCAACAGGTTCCTCCCCAGACATCGAGCGCTTCGATGTTGTTCGATGCGTGGTCCCCCAAACCTCTCGACCTCTTCCCCGGGGCCAACTCTTTCTCCCGAGTCGTTCTGCTGGCGGCCCCAGGGCCCAAAGACGGCCCCCAAAGGCTGACAACGGAGACAAACCGACCGCCTCACCTTACTTCGAGGCTTCGGGTCCTCACTCGGGACCCTGGCGGCCGCTCGGGGCGACCTGGGCACTCTTCCCGAACGCCTTCGGCGAGGCGCAGCTGATGAAAAAAACACCCCGGGCTGGAAGACATCCGGGAATATCCAGGGAAACGCTCGAGGAGGAGGAGGAGGAGGAGGAGGAGGAGAAGGAGGAGGAGGAGGAGGAGGAGGGGGAGGAGGAGGAGGAGGAGGAGGAGGGGAGAGGGGGAAGGAGGAGGGCCCCGGGCGGTCACTGCTCCATTGCGAGGAGGCCAAGGCGTTCGCACGCCGTTGGCGGGGCGATGGGGCAAGAGGACGAGGGAGGGGGCCCTCCTCCTCCCACGTCACCTCCCTCCTCCTCCTCCTCCTCCTCCTCCTCCTCTTCCTACTCCTCCTCCTCCCCCTCCTCCTCCCCCGTCACCTCCTCCGCCTCCTCCTCCCTTTCCTCCTCCTCCTCTTCCTCACCCTCCTGCTCCTCGTGCGACGGGCCTGCAGCAGCATCAGCTTCGCGTGCTCCCAGAACAGCTCCGGGGCGGCGCCCGCGGCGGCGGGTGGCGCCGTGCCGCCGGCGATCAGGCCAGTCTTGTTACAGATGGTCGCGGCCTCGGCCTGGAATAGCGACCTGATGTTGTCCAGGGCCTGGACACATGTGGGGGGGATCGAAGTGGTGGCGCGCACAAGGGAGTGGCGCAAGGGGGGGCCACCTTCCAAGAAGGCCCCTGCTTTTGTACAAGGCCGCCCCCCTCGCGTCACCCCCTTTGTGCGGGCTGCCGATAGAACTTCGAAGGTCGAGGTTCGAGGATTGGAATTCGCACGTCTCTCGAAATCGTTGCCTCTGCGGGGGCTCCTCGCCGCCACGGCCGAGTCCGCCTCGGAGCTCTGGTCAGAACGCACCCCGCCGAGGGTCGACGTTTGACCTCCAACTCCAGAGCCCCCTCGCGTCGTGAAGAAAAAACGAATGAGAGGAATGGGGGCGATTCGGTGCCAGGACAGAAAACGTGTCCACACCCATGGCGCGACGACAGCCTGACATCACATGATTCGCGCCCCTCCAACAAACCCAAAGTTGAAGTGTCCCTGTTTTGGTGTACTGTGTGGTCGCGCTTTCTTGGCGCGATGGAGGTGGACAATTGTTTGTCAGGTCACCGTTGGCGATTGGGCCCCAGGACCGTCAAAAAAGGTCTCGGGATGAGAGACCGACCTCGAGGAAGGAAGGGGTCCCGTTTTCTGGGAGTCCACGCTGCGGAGAAGCAACACGGCGACGGGGTTATGTGGAGGGGCCTGGACGATCGAAGATCGACCTTCTCGAGATTGACGTTCTAGGTCGCCTAACCGCGCGCGCCCCGCCATGCGCGACGCGCGATTGTGCTCACGCCATCGCGCCGCCCCCTTGGAGAGGGCAACCGCTCTAGATCAGACAACGTTGCGATGAGCGCGGTTATCTTCGCGCCCCCGCAGGTGACCAAAACGCTCGTTCAGCCAAAGGTGCAGCATGCGCAGACATCTTCGACGGCCGAGGAGCAGTGGCACACGCACGGGCCAGCAGAGGCCAGTGCGGCTAAGCTCGCCTCTTACGCATGTCTCTGGAGAGGGAGAGGACGTGACAGCTGGACCACTCGGGCGAGCTGTCCTTGGAGGAGGTGGAAGAGGAGCAGGAGGAGGAGGAGGAGGAGGAGGAGGAGGAGGAGGAGGAGAAGGGGGGGAGGGAGGAGGAGAGGAGGAGGAGGGAGGAGGAGGAGGGAGGAGGAGGAGGAGGAGGAGGAGGAGGAGGAGGAGGAGGAGGAGGAGGAGGAGGAGGAGGAGGAGGGGGAGGGGGAAGAGGAGGGGACGAGGAGGGGAGAGAAGGAGAAGGAGGAGGAGGAGGAGCAGGAGGAGGAGGGGGAAGAGGCGGAAGAGGCGGAGGAGAAGGAGTGTGGGGGGGGAGATCTGCTGCCCAGGCCTGGTGGTTGGCCTCGTCCTTGGCCATCAGGCCGTTGGCGTTGTGCTGGAAGTCCCGGATCTGCTGGGCGGAGGCGAACCCCTCCAGGAAGCCTGCTGCGTACACCTTGAGGTCGTCCGACACCTTCGGGTCCTCGCTGGCGTGCACGGACAGGTAGCCCCACCCATTCTTCTGGACGGTGTTCTCGTACGTCGCCCAGGCGACGGGGGTCCTGGGCGGAGCGCGCCAGGGAGGGGGGGGGGGGGGGAAGGCACGGGCCCTTGGGGAGGCCCCCGCCCTCGCCCCCGCCCCCACCCCCCCGACCAGATCTGCTCGGGGGGGGGGGGGGGCAAGGCACGGGCCCTTGGGGAGGCCACCGCCCTCGCCCCCGCCCCCACCCCCCCGACCAGATCTGCTCAGAGACAGCCCCGGGCCCCGCCCTGGCAAGCCTGCGCGGGCTGCATCTGGCCGCGGCCACGGGAGCGCCTCCAGAGGCCCCCCCAGAAGGCCCGAAGCGTCCAGGCACGAAGAAAAAACATCCCTCGATCCTCGGTGCTCTCGTTTTGAAAAGCTGCATCAGCGCACACGCGCAAACACTGTCGGAGGTCCGAGCGGATCTCTTGGATCGGCGCTTAATTTACCCCCCTCCCCTGGGGCCGCCGAGCGCGCCAGGGGCGGCGCCGGAGGCGCTGCCAGGGGCCTCCCAGCGCCCTTAACCGAGAAATCCGCGCGGAGCTCCGAGAAGTGGTGGGCGTGTTTTCCACCACCACTACCATAAGTGGGAGGGGGAGGGGGTCCTCCTCCTCCTCCTCCTCCTCCTCCTCCTCCTCCTCGTCCTCCTCCTCCTTATCCTCTACCTCCTTCCTCCCTCCAACTTATGGTGGTGGTGGTGGAAAACAGGCCCATGAAGAAGTGCGTATGCGCAAGCCATGCTTCTCATGCAGTGCTGCGCGGCCGCCCCCGTGTCCAGCCGCTGCCGGCCTCGTCCTCCGGGTGCAGGTGCAGCCGGAGGCCCGAGTCCACGCTCAGCGCGACCTTCATGCCGCCCGCCGCCTCGGGCGCCGGCGTGCCGCGCTCCACGGTCACCTGCCCGGCCAGGCACAGCTGGGAGCGCCGTGCTCCCGGGCCTCCCTGGAAGGGAAGCCGTCGTGTCTCGCCAGGGGGTCCCAAGCATGCTCGCGTCGTGGAAGAGCATGACGGGAAATTCTGGGCCGCTTTGGGTCTCCAGGGGCCCTCGCCGGGCCACAGGACCGTCGAAAAACGGCACGAGACGGAAAGAACGCCCAAGGGAAAGGGCCGCGAGTTCCAGGGGCCCCGGATTGAAAGTGTCCCTGTAGGCGATGCGAGCCCACTCATTCTACGCTGGCGGGCCTCGCGTACACCCGAGGCTCGTGCGAGGGCCGTCCCTGGCCGCTCTGATATCCCTGCGCGTGTCCTGGGCCACCCTTCCCAGGGCAGCAGGCTTCTCGCCCCGAGTCGCTGCCTGACGGACCCACGGGCCCGCCGATGGACCCCTAAGACCGAAGATGGCCACAAACATCCCGCCGCGGCATTTCTCCACGACGCGAGCACGTCGGGGACCACGGCGCTCCCCAGTCGTGGCGGGCCTGCCTGCAGCAGCGCCCCGCCCGCGCGCTCGCCGAAGGCGAAGCGACCCGGGAGCTGGACGGCGAGCTGGCCGCCCTGGTGGACGACGCCGCTCGCGGCGCTCCTGCGAAGGCCGCCACCGCAGGCGCCACGGGGGCCCCCCAGATTTCCGCGCCCACGGAGGCCTCCCGGATGGGGTCCGAGCAGATGCGGTCGGAGGATCGCGCCGCATCGCCGATGCATCGGCGACGTCGGCGATGCGTCGCCGACGTCGGCGCGGAGAACATCAGGCTCCGCATCGAGCCGCATCGGTGATGCATCTGCGATGCGGCGCTATCCTCCGACCCCATCTGCTCGGACCCCATCCGGAAGGCCTGGAGCGCCACCCTGGCGCCCCGGGTGGCGCACCCCAGACGTGCTCGCGCCGTCTGAAAAAACCAAGACGGCCGTGTTCGGCCTCCAGGGACCCTCGCCCGGCCCCGACCCGGAACGACAACCTGACCCTGGGGAATGGGTCGGGTCTTCTGGGGACCCCGCACTGAAAAAATCAAGGCGTCGGACGTCTGGGACTGGGACTCGTGCACCGGCACTGCTAGTTCTCCCCGGGCCTCTCCCAAGGTGCGCTCCGGCCAGACTCCCGAAGAGAATCAAGCCGCGGCGGCGAGGGCCCAGCAGGATAAAGCGGCACCGGTACTTGTTCCTCCTCTGACGACATCGTTGGGCCATTCTCTGAGCAGGGCGAATTGACACAACGGCAGCTCCGAATCGGTCCCTGGACCCCTCACGGGTTCCAAGAGCACCAGTTTTCCCAGCTGCGTGTCAAGCCGTGGGCAAGGGTCTCGTCTGAATCCGGGCCGCCTGGGCCACGGGGCCACCATGAACAAGGGTCAACCCTGAGATTCGACTTTGCGAAAAATTCTACAGTATCTTCCTGCGGAGTGTTTCGAGCCAGATCGATATGTGATGGCCGCGGGGCACGAAACCCGGCAACAAGGCCGAACGTGACAAAAAACTGCAACATCCCGAGCGCCCAGGAGAAGGAGGAGGAGGAGAAGGAGGAGAAGGAGGAGGAGGAGGGATGGATGGATGGATGGATGGTTTGGATGGATGGATGGATGGAACGCTGGGGGGGCGATGCGTCTCTGTGCCGTGGCCTGCTCATCTAAGGGCGATGCTCTGCCTTATGGAAAGCCCCCTGCGTGGAACTCGAAAGCGGACAAGGGGCTATCATTTACTGTACCGCAGCCTGGCCCGTTTGAGTGGGAGTCTGCCTCCCGCTCAAGTGGACCGTCGGCAGGGATGCATACGCATGATCCCACCGCTTTAAACCTCGGGAACCTATGCCTCCTCACACCTACCACCTATTGGGGGGCACGGGGAGGAGGACGACGCAAAAACCTGTAAGCGTCCGCTAACATCTCTTGAGCTTTGCAACTTCCCCCCGCCGCCAATCGTTCGAGATTCGCTAGAAGACTTGGGCCGCTCGCGGCATGCTGCGCGGCGATCGCCCTGGCGGGGGGGGATATGCGAGGACGAGGACAAGGGGAGGCTCGGAGGCACGGGAGTAGGGACTAGTGTATAATGGATCGAGTGGCGTCGGGGACCCCTGGAGTTCCTGGACGCTCCACTGGGCTGGGCGCTATCCCCCCCACCTCGGGCGATGTCGCCTGGCCTCCATTTTCCTCCTCACGGGCCCCCTTGACTGGTTGCCTCGCACGAGGCTACTACACACCTGACTGGCGCCTCAGACTCACCTGTTAGCGGTCCAAGTTCGCGCGGGGCTGCCTCTCCACCACCCTGACTATCTCTGGCTTCGGCGCCTGGCCCACACAGGATGGCGACGCGCACGTCCTCGATCGTGACCCCCTGCTCCATCGCCTCCGCCTCGAACGAGCGGGAGTCCGCCCACTTGTTGAAGTTTACCGTGACCTTCGTCTTCTTCTGCTCCTCGCCCTGGTCCTCCTTGATGTGAGCGTCCTTCACCCTGCACACCCTGAACGTCTCGCTCACCACTTGCTGGCCCTTCTTCCCGTTCGCCAGTCGTAGCCAGGGGTCCACCACCTCGCCGCTCGGTTGTCATTTGAGCTCCTCTTGCATCGCATCCATAATCGCCATCCCCACCTGCAAGTGCGGCGATCCTATGCCGTGGCCCTTGCCTTTCTCATTCACCTCCTTCTGGTAGTCGGCCACCGTCTCCTTCGCGCTCTCGATGCACTTCGCCATGCTCGGGCACAGCCAGAAGTCGCACAGCGCCGCTGCCACCTCTCGGCCTTGGGCGTCCTGCGACAGGGCGAGGCGCTGCAGTCTGGCGATGTCATCAATCATCTCTCCTTCGAGCTTCTGGCCCTGGGTTGTCCCTTTTGCGCCTTTGCCTGCCTTTTGGTCGCGCTGTCCCTGCGCTGCCCCTCCTGCTCCTCGCTTGGTTGCCCTCCACTTCAGCCTCGCCTCGTCCGCCGTACTTGGATACACTTATGCCTTACGCCCTCTGGACCTTGATGGTGAGAAACTGCGTGCTGCTGATAATCCTCAAGATCCCGAGCCTCGTCGCTAATGATCCCGTCGGCTGCAAGGTATGGCCCAGGCATTATCATGCGTCGCTGGACCTCAACTTTGACGCAGTACTTCTTCTGATACAATATCCTTGTAGTGGCCTGGGCCCCAATTCCTCGTAGCCCGACAAGGTGATAGGCTTTGTCAGCATTGAGGTAATGCCCACATTTAGAATCTCTCTCTAAGCCCTCCGTCGCGTAGTTGATCTTCGTCACCGCCTCGTTCGCGCGCGGAGTGCCCAGCCAGATATGCGTTCGTGCAACGTCGCCCATGAAAGTTGCCAGCCCAATGCCTACTTCATCTCCCTGCTTCATTGTCGGGCTCCTCGTTCTCAGCAAGCCATAAGATATGTCCTGCTCTTTGAGGTACTGGTTCCACTGCTCGATGAGCGGGTTCTAGCAGTCATTGAAATCTCGCGGTGCAAGGCAAAATCCCATTTGACTTCCGCTTCGGGGCATCAGGCTGATTTCCTCGTCACTTCCCTTAATCGTCATCGATGCATGCTCAATAGCGCCCACTGCGAAAGGGATGCCCCCTTCCAAACTTTGCGCTCGAGCAACTCCTTCCAACTTCTCTCTGGATGTGCAGCCGAAAGCATTTGCACAATCAAAGTTCGTCGTAGTATGGCTATGGCCCAAAGACAAAATTCTCAATCTGCAACTCGTAATCGTGATCAGCACGTCCTCTCTGCATTTCCTCGCAGGTCCACCGTGTGCCAAGTAGGGCCTTTGCACTGGTGGGGCTCGTCTGCGCATACCGCTATGAAAGCCCAGCGGCCACGCGCAATAGCAATGCATAACTCTGCGTCCAAGGATTCCTGCTTCGCCGTTGCTCTTGTCCATACTGAACGAAGATGCTCTCAAACAGTCAATCGGCGCTGCCTCGCACGTCCTTACTTTCATTATGTATTCTGAACAACGCCCTTGAAACAACTCAGCTTCGCAACTCATTTCCATTGTTCCAAGTCCAGCTCGATGATCCCTGCGAGAGATCCAATAATATGGTTGCACGGCCTCTTTCACTTCTCGTAGCGGGTCTGCTCCCAGCGCTTGACCTGGCACCCATCCCATCTTAATCAGAAGAGCTCTGCATTTGTTCGTTTGCGGGTTCTCCTCCTCCTCGTCATTCTCAAGCCGGCTTAAGTTGATCGCAACTCTTTCGCTTGCTTCGTTCGGGTCCTTTATATTCTCCAAGGGCTCTTCGATCAGCAACGCCATCTCGCTCGGGATTTCCCAAGCTGGGTAAGTCCTTATGTTGCAAGTTCTTCTCAGGTATATGACAAGTGTTTTGCGGTCGTCTCGCGCATCTTCCATAAGCTCTGCATTGACAAATCGCGCATCCCCTTCGCCGTCAGTGTCAACTCCGCTGCAGTACTCTCTCTTCACCCGCTTGCCTTCAGCCCACCGTGTTCGCCTTTTTTTCAACTCTGTACCCCACTCTTGTGCTTCCATGTTCGTTCTGGGTGAGTCGAAATCTCGCTTACGAGGTCCACGCCCTGTACCGCTGCATTGACAACGAAGCGCATGTAACTCTTCAAAATTACGCTTTTCCGCCGCTATGCACATCGTCTCCACCAACTCCGCTTTTTCTCCTCTTCTCTCGATTATGTCTCTCACCCTTCAGCGTCGCCGTGATCTCTTTCAACTCGTTCTGTATCAGCTCCATCTCCTCATCCGTCGAGTGCCCAAGTCGCTGTTTAAGGTCCCTCCGCTGGTCCAAGAGCTGCATGCGATACTGTGTAGCCGCCTGCATCCATTATGGTTGTACGCTGGCTCCTTGCGGAAATGTTCCCTCCATATATTTGTTCACCGTCTTTGCGAGAATCTCCCACATGTCGTCAGGCGTGTGTCTGCTCTTTGTTTATTGCCATCTTTTCTCGTTGATCTCGTTCTGCAGTTCCTCGA